GGCTTCTGCTGCAGTAGTGTTTGTTAGGGGTGCCGCCGATGTCGTTAATGTAGAAGCCTTAGGCGTTAAAGTAGTTTCTGTAGTTGCTGAACTCGATACTGTACTGGATTGCAGTGTGCTTGTCGATTCGAGAGGTGCAGTTGTATGGGTTTCTGCTGCAGTAGTGTTTGTTAGGGGTGCCGCCGATGTCGTTAATGTAGAAGCCTTAGGCGTTAAAGTAGTTTCTGTAGTTGCTGAACTCGATACTGTACTGGATTGCAGTGTGCTTGTCGATTCGAGAGGTGCAGTTGTATGGGTTTCTGCTGCAGTAGTGTTTGTTAGGGGTGCCGCCGATGTCGTTAATGTAGAAGCCTTAGGCGTTAAAGTAGTTTCTGTAGTTGCTGAACTCGATACTGTACTGGATTGCAGTGTGCTTGTCGATTCGAGAGGTGCAGTTGTATGGGTTTCTGCTGCAGTAGTGTTTGTTAGGGGTGCCGCCGATGTCGTTAATGTAGAAGCCTTAGGCGTTAAAGTAGTTTCTGTAGTTGCTGAACTCGATACTGTACTGGATTGCAGTGTGCTTGTCGATTCGAGCAATGCAGTTGTCGAGGCCTGTGCTGTAGTGGTGTTTGTCAGGAATGCCGTCATCGAGGTCGATAATGCGGTCACCGAACGGGTTTCTGTAGATGTCGGTAATGTACTGAAGCTTATTGGAACATAGCTCGTAGAAGTCAAAGCAGGCTGTGTAGCCGTCGACACCGGTACTGTACTGGGACTCGTCGGAAATTCGCTGATCGGAGTCGAAGCAGGCTGCTCAGTTATCACAGTCGCTGCAGTAGAGCTGTTTGTGAGAACTGCAGCCGTCGAAGTCGTCAACGTAGCTGTTGAGATGGATGCTGTTGTTGTCAAGGCCTGTGCTGTAGCAGTGCTCGCTAGTGCTGTTGCGGGTGACGTTGTCGGTGCCGTTGTCGATAGAGAATGTACTGTAGTGGCATTCACGGGGGCTGTGACTAGCGATGTCAGTACTGATGTTGTTGATACTGGCACCACTTTTGTCGGTGTTGCCACAGTCGCTGTGCGTGTTGGAGCTGTACTCGCTGAAGATGGCAATGACGTCGTCGATGTGTGTAATGCCACCGTACTTGTTGGAGCTTTTGTAGTCGTCTTCTCGGCTTCGTGACCTTAAGAAAAAGCAATTATATAATAGCTCTTGTTCCCGATGTTGAGGAGAAATTGTGTTATATAATAGCTCTTGTTCCCCATGTTGAGGAGATATTGTGAACTTACTTATTTTATTTTAGTGAAGTTGCTTTTATTAGGTTGTTCTTCCTATTCGCTGCGCATTTCGACACTTGGTCTGTTTGAGAGCTTTCGCTTCTAATAGGCACAACGCTACAATCACGTTAAGAATCAATCGGGATGCGGCCGTTTGTAGGGTAATGGATGAACATCACTCTCTCACAATGACCAGTGCTAGTGGCAGTAAGTCCCGTCATTGTTTTGAAATGACTTCATTATTTAACCTTTGCCCCTCGCAGGCATTCTAGTGACCAACCACCGTGAAGCCATGACGTTTCTCATTCGGACTAACATCTCTGCAGGATGCGAAAGCGACGTTAGCTAATGGAGCAACACTAGAGCTGTGCGGTGTACTTGACTGTAGTCTGGCCAGATCCTACAAAAAGTTGCGCGTCGCCTTCATGATGTGTGGTCGGGCGTTATCCTCGAGAAAAACGATACTTTTCCACTTCGTGTCCTTCTTTCACAATTTCTAGGGATGATACCCCCGCTCCCTAAGTATCGCACTCATTGCTGATTTTAAGAGCACTTCGCAAATAGCACACATTGTTGGTCAAGGAGTCCCTCCTTTTTAGAGCACAGGGTTGATTTGGACTGGACCCTGCATTCACATTCAGTGAATATCGACTTGTAGGGATCTATTTGTGCTTTCAAACCAGAAATTCTTTTAGTAGTGAAGAGTGTGACGAACTCTACTCCATTCATATCGAATGTGGTACCACAGTCGTACCGAAACCTAACACGTACTTGATAATCGTGGAAGCATACGTTTACCCTCTATCCCATAGTGCAGGGAATTCTCATCCAGACTGAGTCAAACTGAGGTCGATCATAGCTCAGCGACTGTACATTATGGTTATTCGTACAAGTTATGGGATGTCAAAGGAATGTGGCGATGCCACACCATATTCGGTGGTGGTACTGCTTTGACATGTGCTAAGTCAGAGCTGCGATTTTTAGGCTTTCTATACTGCAGGCAGATGTCTCAGTATTGCCTTCTGTCGCATCGAAGGTGCTTCGTAACAAAGTGCCCAAGGTTCTGATCAACAGCTTCGCGTGTAGGATAAAAGTTATCAGTCGACGGCAGTCAGGTGTGGAGCAGCTAGAAAGAGTTAAAGACCCTTCTAAAACGGATTGTGTCAAGCGACCGGTGCTTATGATAGAACCTCGATAGTATTTCTAGAAATCAGATTACCAACCCAGCAGCTCGAAAACTTTAGATATTTTGAGCGTGTCGGACATTTTGGGTCTTAGCACTAAATATGAAACGTTACAGTAATTAGGCCAAGCTTATATGCGCGTTCATTTTACGATCTCCACCGAAGAAAGATTCGGTTTATGCGAATATCGTACGGCCCTGGAATCAACCCACGCAGTCAAAAGGATCTGCGTATCGTTCGATGAGGATTGCATCCTATCAAGCCATGGTGGATTAGTTCTTCAAAAGTGACGACTTAGAAGAAAACTTGAACGTCTCTTTCTCAATACAGGCGATTGCCTCATAAATGGACTGAAGGATGCAAACATTTGGTACTATTGCAGGGAAAGGTCTGGTAAATGTGCTACATAAGACAGAATTTTTCAACTAAAACTTCGGGAACTTCGGAAAATCGTTCTGCTACTTGTCGCATGAGATTGATATGGAGGAAGTGAACGCTGTCAAGTGTTCCGCGAATCTTTTACCACGACTCGATACAATCGATATAACTGAGAACAGCAGAAATCAGCATTGCGGATCCAACCGGCAGGCAAGCCTCTCATTATAGGACTCCTCAAATACTCAGGAAAACACTGATCATTGGATGTGACCTTGATTTCCCTGACGTGATCGATTGCTTTTCGAGCATAAACATGGAATGACCGTGGATCGCTTCGAGGTCCGGACGATATTCGAGTGGTTCAAACCTTTCGTCGCTGACGATCAAGGTTCTTTGCAGCAGGTACAGCATTCAGCAGCACACAAAAGTGGAACACCAGCCCTGTAATTCTCGTTTAATCTGCGTCTCCCAACCGTCAGCTGTCTTCTTGAAAGGAAAACTATCCGTACACGCCAACTTGGTTGGAGCCTTGACATGACGAACAGCAGGCTTGAGACTAACCCAATTTTCGATTTTGGAGACTTTTCCACAGCGATGCTAACTGAGCGATTGCGTGGTAAAAGCGGCGAAGGTGCTTATCAATATTGAGGCCTGTTCACTTGAGTAGAAGTGGTCACATAGAACCTTCGGAACCAACACCAGCCGCACAATGGGAGACAGCTCTCTCACTAAACGGAGCGCATACGTCCGTATGGGTCGCTTTCAGTTCCGGAGCGGTTAGTTCAGAACTTTTTGCTGCTCAAGAACAGATGAAATTCCCTGTAGCTACTGTAAGAAGAATTGCATGATCATTGCATTTCTAACAAGGTTCTAGACAGAGACTTCAGTGGTAACCAATTCGCCTTGTGCTGACCGCAATATTTCCCTAGAAACATCAGTAAGTATTTTGGTACAACATAGTCAGGAATGTTTGCTGCAACTCACCGAATATTGCAATTCTGCTAGCCAAGTCTCCTTTCTGTTCTTCACCAACCACATTCTTCATGGACTGTTCGTACAGAACGCTAAGGTTTTTTGCCGGTATCGTATTGGACACAATCATTGTACTTCCATGAAGATCTCCAATTTCATTCACGAAATCATTTATGTCCGGATCTCCCCTTAAAAGAGCTATACTTCTCCAATAGATTCATACCGAGTATGTGAAGGAGCATTCATGATCCGCTCATAGTTTTGACTTGGAGGCAGCGCCCGCGTTCACTCGATGTTTCCATGCCTTCTCTGGATATCCTACCCTTCGTACAAGGGGGATGTACCAATTTCGCAGCTCAAAAATACAACAAGAAGAGCACGCTCGCTCGTGTAGAGGCTGCCGCTCCGCCCACTGCCCACCTAAGGCGGGCGGGCGGCTAACTCTTCAAGAGCGAGGTGCTATGTTCTTGTATTTAGGCAGCGAAATTTGTGAATCCTCTATTTGTACGAAGGAGTACGATATCCAAAGAAGACGTGGGAACATCAAATCGACGCAGCTCTGCTTTAAACGTGGGCGCGGGGCGCGTACGAGATGGGAACATAAAGATATCGCCTAGCAGGACGGAATTCCGCGACGCTGAGCAGCAGCTGCGTAGCCCCTTTCCCAACAAAGGTACCCTTATAAAGCCCTATCAAGCCAC